GGGGGGGTGTATGTTGATAGGAGGAGCTGTCAGACGGCAGGCTCTGGTCCTCCAGCCCCCATACACTCCCCCGGCACGTTGCTCTCATGAAAACACTAGTGGTGTGCGCAGCCCATGTGCAGAGCAGACTGTATGCTGTCACCCAGCTCGTCATCCTCGTCCCCCGGCTTCCCTGCTCTCTCCCTCTGTCAGTGTCACCTGGATGATGATGATGCCGCCTCACCCCCTCCACAGATGAGGCTGCCCTGTCCCTGCCCTGGATCGCTCCCCAGCCGAGCAGTGGGCACAAGTTGTAGGCACAGCCGTGCCATGTCTGCCATTCTCCTCCCTGGTCCCCAGCCCCACTCATGGGATGTGGCACCCTGAACCCTCGGATCGGTTCTGGTGTGCACCTGGAAGCGCTGAGAGCTCAGCCCAAAGTCTCACTTCTGCTGACTATGATCTTCCTCTTCACTTTCTTCTTCTACTGCCTGAGCGGCTCTTGTGGGGAGACCCAGCCGTCCATGGAAGCGGGGGGATCGATCGGAGCGGACAGTGCGCAGCGCTCGTCTGTACACGGGAGCCAGGCGGAGGAGTCGGCGCCGTCCCTGCTGAGCTTCCATCTACCGGACCTCAGCCCGGGGAAGGTGAACAGGACATTGGGGCGCAGTCCCCTCTCCAGTCACAGCGGATACGGGAGCAAAACGTTTCCTCAAGCCATCATCGTGGGGGTGAAAAAGGGGGGGACCCGGGCACTGCTGGAGTTCCTGAGGGTGCACCCAGATGTCAGGGCGCTGGGCGCTGAACCCCACTTCTTTGACAGGTGCTACGACAAAGGGCTGGAGTGGTACAGGTAAGAACGTTCCGTCCGGTCCCCGGTCTGAAGATGAGATGTTATCTGTCTGTATCTCTTTCTTTCAGCATCACCTCCAATTGTCTTCATTTATCGATCGATCTATCATTCTATTCTATCTCTTTTTTAGGAGATTTCTTTCTGGTTTTACTTTCTTTCTCTCCTTATATAATCTCTCTCTCTCTCTCTCTCTCTCTCTCTCTCTCTCTCTCTCTCTCTCTCTCTATCTCTCTTTATCTATCTATCTATCTATCTATCTATCTATCTATCTATCTATCTATCTATCTATCATTCTACACTATCTCTTTTTTATTTTGTAGGATCTTTATATCTTTCTTTCTGTTTATAGTTTCTTTCTCTCTCTCTCATATTCTCTCTCTCTCTCTCTCTCTCTCTCTCTCTCTCTCTCCCTCTCTATCTCTCTATATCTATATCTCTATATCT